ATGTTCCTGCGCCTCTAGAGCAGGACGCAGGATTGGTTTTTAAACAGGAGAACGGGGGGCAGTATTTATCCTTCACCTTTTTCCCTTGCACACAGGGACTGCAGAAGACCTCTGTCCAAAAAAGTAAAGGAAAAAAGGAAACAAAAAAAAGGACAAAAGGCCCGGATCACCCAGAGTTGGATGGCGGGTGAGCCTGCACACCAGTGGCCTCCTCAGCACAGGGAGGAGATGCCTGTCTACCAAGGACTGCACGCGGACATCCAGCCAAGGCAAGGCCATTTCTTGGAACACACGTAGGCGCTCCTGAAGGCAACATGTCCCCCAGAGGGAATCCCCGCAGCCGGGACTGGAAGGAGCGAGCAGAGCACACTTGTTTAGCTGTGAACGCACTGCCCTGAGCTGCTGGAGGGGAAAGCAGAAGGCAGAGCTTGCCTTCGCCTGCTGCTTCTCCCCAGCTCTACCCCTGGAACAGATACCGCAACAGCTTGTGCAAGAAACGGTCCCTGGGATGAGGCTGGGGTCAGACAGAGCACCGAGGCAGGCAGCTGACAAACCTCGCTCTCTTCCCTTATGAAAGGCTCTAGAGCTGCTGATCACCCGCTGGAAGGAATCTCGGCGGGAGGGCACCCCTCTGCTGCCCAGAGGCGAGCGGGCTGATGCACCCAGCGCAGTGGATCTGTGGACCTTTGCGTGACAAAGAAACTCCCCTCTTCCCCCTCTTTACTTGGCTTGAGGGTCCTCTCGCTTCCCCTCCTCCTCACGACCCAGCCGCTCGCTCGGCTCCTACCGGCCACAGAGACCGTCAGGGAGACGCGGTCACTGCAGCGATGCTCGTGACGTCCATCCACCACTAAACTGAACCAGTGAGGACTGAACTAATCGCCAGGGCTGCTGTCAAAAGCCAGCGTAACACGTTCCCAGCCCAGCACACTATCCACCCTCCCGATCCTGCCAGGCACAGCGGTGCTTCCATCCGCCTGGCCCGGGGAAACCTGGCGCACCAGGAGGCTCAGGGCAAACCCCAGCCCGTCTTTACCCATCGAGATGACGGCCTCGTAGTTGCCTTTCATGATGTGCCTGTAAAGCTCCTTCTGCCACTCGTTCAAGCTCTTCCACTCCTCCTCAGAGAAGTTAAACGAAGCATCGTTGAACGCCACGGGGACCTGCAATTAGAAGCATCATACGCTCAGATGTTTTGCTTCTTGTTGGAGAAAACACACGTTTTCTCATTCAAACTCCTCAAGCACCGCACAGGACGGTTCCACACAGCAACGCCCGCTCCTTCCCATGCGCCTCGCTCGGCCCCGTGCCTGGCTCAGGCAGCTCCACCCCTGCCTGCGAGGGACGCGATGGGGTTCTCCCTCGTCACCTGCCTGCACCTTGCCCCCTGCTCTGCCTCCTCGCGCTGCGGGCGACGTCTCACGCACAGCGCCCGACACAGACTCTTTTCCCACTTCGTTTTTGGAACGGTTCTGCCGCAATTGCCTCTGAAGAGGAACTGGGCAGACGTTACCAAACCTAGGCAGGCACGTAGGGCTAAGCCACGCAATTCCGCGTGACTCAGACAGGGCTCCAGCCACACGAAGGAGTCTGTGACCCCACACAGAGTGGCCGATGCGTTTTGGTGAGGATCACACACACATAACGAGCAGCGCGTAATTAACACAAAGGGACCCGTACTGGTGCTTCTCGCCGAGCGCTAATTTCCGCCCCTGCCGCTGAAACGGGGCTGCGAGCGCAGAGTAGGCGTGGAACAACCCCGTTTCAAAGAGGGAGCAGAGGACCGTTACCTTGGGGACCTCCCCCTTCGCCC